GCATATGGGTAATCTCCTTCACGCCAAAAGTAACAGCCTCGGCAGCATCGGTGATGACTTGAAAAGCTCGATCGCCGCTTACCCGATCGGTCATGACTTGAAACAGCTGATCACAGTTCAGTTCTTAACCATTAACCATGCACTTTCGTGCGCCGGTTTTGGTTGACGATTTGGATAAAAAAGCAGAATGAGGATTATAATGTGGACAGCAGATTCAAGCGGAAGATAGCGCATTTATGTAGACTTAAGTTACAAGATTAATAAATGGATGCGTGAGCGCCACAGTCTGCGGCACCCAGCCATATCACAGTGTCTCTAACCATCGGTGACCATTATCTCGGGGTCCCCAGTCAGGGAGTCTAACTCCCTGGTCATGGGGTAAACCAAACATAGACAGTATCTAGTTTTGGTAGTCGAATGTTCACTGGAGAGTGCAATGCCGTCTACGTAATCGTCTAGGTAAACCTCAAACAGACGCAAAAGTACCCCAGCTCCAAATAAAATAGTGATAAGATGAAATCACATGATTAGTTGAGATAACTTTCCAATAAGGGAAAATATTGCGAGAGGGTAGATGTATAACTACTCCTACTATTAGGTTTTCAACTAATGCATATGAGTAAAATAAATCCTTGACGTAGATTAGGAATATATAGTACAAGTCGTAGTGCCACTACCGTTTTCGGTATTGAGCCTCTAGCCTTTGGGCAGCCATACTACTAACAAAACGGTAATGATTTCGACGGCTCAGTTTAGTGGTGGACCGGATATGAGGATGCCATATCTTCCCTACGGGCACTTATGGCTTTCGCAGTAGAGAGCGCATGCCACGCGAACACCCGGCACACCCTGCAGATATCACCAATGTTCGTTCGCGATTCCTTATTCAGTGAAGCTATCAGCTCAGCTAACCATCTAAGAGTCTGTTTACTTATCCATGATCTTTATCGCACAACAGAACTGGTCGTTGACTTACGGTATCCTACGCATGATTACTTGACCAAGGCACAGGTATATTGATTGATCATTAATTAAGATGCTCCGGAGAACCGCAAAACGATCAAGAAGACTAAATGGTGGTGGCGTAGTAGCTTAGTCACTGTCATCAACTTGGTTTGAACTCTGTGGTCCGAGTCCCGCCACCCGACTTTGGTGGTGTCCGGTTCAATACCATGTCTGACCTAGCGGGGCCTTATGTGGTTCACCACTCCAAGTTCCGAGGCTTAGGTTATCGGTTCCCATCAATGTACAACCGGTCTTCAAGACCATGGGTCCAGCCCTTCTACTGTTCACCATGGGTGTATCGTAAAAAGCTTCGTCTTTCTAGGTTTCCATACATCTGATGTTAATCTACAATATCACTCTTGGTTATTTCGTTGCCTAACCCGGGGGGCCTTTG